GTAATTTGAAAACACAACTTTACTTATTATAGCTTTAGTGCTTATCTGTATTTGTTCAAGTGATTATATACATAAAAGATTTTTCTTTTCGGAACAAAAATGGTTCAAAATACTTGATACGAGATTTTACTTTAAAAAAAACAGGCTAACATAAAGCACATTTTTTAATAGGATTTTTAAAGTAGATACCCTATTTGGCATTTGAGTTAGAAAGTTTATTAAAGGATCTTTTTTTGAATGTTCAAACACGCCAAAACATGGATTAAACCAGTGCACTTATCAAGTAAATTTTTCTACAAAGTTTAAAATAAAAAATTGTGATGCTGTGCCTCAAAATTCATATTACGAAAATTCTTTCTAAAGCTGAATTTCGTGCTCGGCATGTCTTATATACTTCCTGTCATCGCGGATTCTCACAATATTGAAAACTTTTATCATTTTCATTTTCGCGAAGAAACAAAAGGGTGTTTACATAATGGGCCAATGATGAAATATGAATTTATTTTGAAGAGCAGTTGAAAGGTTGGCCATATTTGACACTAATTTAGTCTTTGGCCATATTAATTTAGCTGACTTCCACAACAACTGCCTTAACGTAATCTAACCTTGCTTTTTAATTCAATGACAATAAGATTCATAAATGAATGAGAGTACTTTTTCAAACTTAAATAAATTGTATCTGACAAGAGAATAACACAAAAAACAACTTAACTGTTCGCAAAACTACATCACTATTATTGAACTACGTCGTGGGCAGCTTATAATTCGTTTCAAGCCTTCTCTTATAATAAAATTCGCTTGTACTATCCATCACTTGGTCTTTGTTCTAGACTTCTTTTGAATTTGTATTTCATAACATCCACTCTTCATATTTAACGTTGTATACACCTTAAATAAATAAATTTTATTTTCCATTAGTACAATATAACAATTGTATAGGAATCGTCAATAGATAGTCTCTAATGAATGAGATACAGTACAGTACAATAAAAGTGCCGGCAAATATTTATATGTTATATCACAAGAGCTTTAAATTTAATCGATTAAACTATTCGAAATATTTTGAGCATGATTTTATTTAAAAGTTATTGTGCATGAAACTATTTGCCAAAAAGCAAAATGATGCAAAAAATATTTGGATAGTTTAATCCATTTAAATTTATAAGGTCGAGTGATATACGGCTAGATTATTTCCTGAATAATTGGGTTTAAAGTCAGCAACAAAGAGTTTCATTTATGATAAAATATCAGAATATTTCCTCGAATATTTCTATCAAAATTCTCTCAAAGAAGAAAAACAAAAATTTAATCGTGAATAAACAGGTCTTGTGCAATAATCACTTATGTAAATAAAATGCATTCAAAAAATAACGTTGTCTGATTCGTCTATTATGTCATGAATGAAATAATCACAATTATTAACCAGACAGGTGGCCTAAGACTATTAAAAACATTAAAAATTAAAACAACAAGTTCGTTCACACTGTGCAAAGTCTTGTTAATCAAGTATTCCTTCAACTTACGTCTAAACTATGTAATATTTTTAGATTGTTTTATATCATCTGGAAGCGCATCAAAAAACTTAGCCCTTCAAAAAATTTGGGCTGTTTCTAGTGATCTCCAGCCTAAATCTTAAGATTTGGAAATCTTTTGTAAACCTAGTGTTGTGATCGTGAAACACTTCACTACACACAAAAATTTCCCCATTAAGGAACACATAAACACACATTTCATACACAAACAAGCCCGGTACTGTAAAAATATTGTCAACTACTGAAGTAAATACCACTCTGTGCATCAAAATTACTAAAATGTGTCGACGAGTCAGCATTTATCTATATATATAAAACACAGTTGTGTTGGTATTTGAGCACTTATAACTCGAGAATGGCTGGACTGATTTTTATGATTTTTGCTTTATTGGATTTGTCTTTGTCCATCCTAAAATAATAAATCGAAAAAATCCAAAAAAAAAACAAAAAAAAAAATTCTCTATTTTACTTATTTATGAAAAAAACTCACTAAGCCCGCATACGGCGCCATCTCTTATAACCGATACCAAGTTTACCGTCACATTTTCATTGCAAACCATGTGGATTTTATTGTCACACACTTTGCACAAAAACAATTTGAGGAAAGCACTTTATTTTTAATTGTCTTCACAGTAAAAATGTCCAAAAATAAATAATAGAATGACAATGTTTTAATTGTGTATTTTATTTTGTTGTTGTTTCGTTCATTCCGAAAGGGCGCGAACTGGTCTTCCTGTCATTTCTTGACGCTTGACCATTGACGTTCTGTGGCTAAGTTCCGTTTCTCCTCTTAGGCATCCCTTGACAGCCGTGTTCCGTGCCGACTGTTCGGAGTGCTCCGTCCGGCTGGTATCGAGTGGCAGAGAGCCAGGTTATGAGTCCGCCACAACCATTTTGTATACGGCGCCATATATGATAGGTACCTAGAACGAAGCTCGCCGTTGCGCGGTAATTTCATTGCAGATACAGTAGAACAGAATACTGCTAAGGAACTGGAGCTATTCTGAACAGAACTATTCCACTATTCCGATCAGATAAAGTAGTGCAGAAAGAGTAGATCAGATAGAATAGTGCAGATACAGTAGAACAGATGGAGTATTGCAGTGCATGCAGTGCATGCAGTGCAGATAAAATGAAACAGGGCTGCGCTGGAGTTTTTTTTGTTTTCTTTACATTTTTTGAACATTCCTGTGCCTGAGTTTATTTATTTGGTGGTACAGTTTATAAGAATAATGCCCACAAGATGCCTAAAAAGGGATGATGTAAAATTTTAATTTTAGGTGACTTCTGATCCAGAGAGTAAAAATTAATTTTCTTCGACCAAAGCCAAATTCACCATCGAAAAAAACTGAATTTAATTTAGTTAATAGATACGTTAACACAACATTTAATAGGTATTTAATAATTCAGAGAAGGTACGAAGTTCGCCGGGTCAGCTAGTTTGGTATAAATACAGCGCCGAAATCCATTACCGGCAGACTAAAGCTAGTGCGAACTACCTCTAATGGGAAAAGCCCCTCTAGCTAAGTCTCCTCCCAGTGCAAACTACCTTTAATGGGAAACGCCCTTCTGGACCTGTCTCAAAGCCAGTTTCAGACGAAGACGATTACGTAATTCCTGTGGGTGTGCTAGCTCAACCACTGGTTGTGCTAGGTTGTCCTAGCTATAACCCTGCTGTGCTAGCATTTTGATTAAAAAATATCGACTGGGGGTGGGGTAACTTAACGCATCCCACGGCGCATGGATTTTAGTTTAGAGATAATGTTCCCGGGTTCGATTCTCTTTGAAGGCAATAATTTTTTTTTTCAGGTTTTTTTTTTCTTTAGGGTTTTCATTTTTCTTTTAAAGATTATCAAGAGGATGGGTTAGTTTGGGTTAGTTTCGATTTGGTCTGTTTCGTTTAAAATACAAACAAAGGCTAGCTAGCACTTATCACGAATTACAGAGCTCCGCCTGTCTGTTCCTCAGACTCCTCCCTCTTTCGGAAGACGATTATGTGATTCCTGTGGGTGTGCTAGCTCAACCAGGTGAAAAATATTAACTGGGGAGGGCTAGCGTTAAGTTGCCCCCCCCCCCCCCCCGACTTAACGCACCCTTGGGTGACCGTGGGACTCGCCCTCAAGAAGTTAATTCTTTATTGTTAAAAACACGAGTTTTGGAATGATAACTGTCTAATAATGGTTTAAATAAACCGTGAAAATTTCATTGAAATCGGCCAAAGCTCTTTTGGGTTATTAATAAAAAAATATTTTTTTTTTTGTAAAACTTAGCACCCTGTATCTTGGAAACAAAGCGTTTCCGGACCTATATCCATAGGAACTTTTTTAATTATTTTCATGAATATTATCTGCTCTTGAAGTTTGTAACACCCTTTCGGAAACACCTTGTATACTAAACGCAACTGGAACGGCAATGAAACACAAAATTGTATAGCCTTATTGGTTTTGTATGCCCATCCTTGTCTGACGCAGTATACATGACACGGTCAAAGACGAAGATACTTCCCTTGTACACAACGTAGGTATATCCATCCTTGCTTGACTCATACAGTATGAATGATACAGACAAGGACTACAGTCTGCTTTTCTTGACAAAAAGGAGACAACCTCACCAATACCAATGGTGTGCAAGTGAACATTTCCTACCCCTTTTCTCAGAACGCTGTTGAGAATCACGACCTATCGAACAACTTCCCAAAAACAAATGAAAATAACCTCAACCCGGAGCATGAAATACCGAAATATATAGGGGACAGGGGATAACAGAAATAAGTAGTTTAAGACAAGTGTATGACACTCTAAGCAGCCTAACAAGATTATGCATGAATAGATTTTGATACATTTGCGAGACTCTCTAACGAAACGTGATTCGAGACATGACTCGAGGCTGCGAGATATGACTCGAGACAAGAAAGACTTCTTATTTCATCGGCGAGACGAGACAAGACTTTATGAAAGTCTCGTCTCGTTGGCCTCGTGGGACTCACTGCTATGTCATATAGAGTTTCATTGAATATTCCAATAAGAATTTGCTCACGGGTTCTTGGAATGATGATTCAGGTCCTCTCAATGATGATGTAGGTATAATTTGAAACGGGTATTGGAAATCATTTTTCGAATGGTGTAGTTTCAATTTCACATTTCTGATCATTGTTGGATTTTGGAATTTTACATGGAATACAAAAATTACTTTAGGAGCTTTCTAAATATCGCTAATTGAACACTGAGATTTTGGCAAAAAGAAGGCAACAACAGCTAAACGTTTTAATTTAGAGCCAAAACGCTTTCATTTGGCACAAATTTACGTTGTTAAACGTTAAATGTTAAAAACTCCTCGCTTTGGTTGAGTACCTACTTTCAGAAATTTTAGCACATATGAAGAGTTTTGCATAAGAAAACATGATTGAAGGGATGCTGTATACAATTTTTGTCATACATAGTAAAAAACCAATTATAGTTGTAAGAATATTTATTTTGTATAAAATAATTTAAAAGTATATAATTTCATACATTAGGTACATGTACCTACCTACCTATAATTAATGACAATTCTCATTATGTTCTGGATGACCCTTGATGCAGTTAATAAAATCTGTAGGCTGCAGCGACCCTGTGCATATTCTATGAACGGCAGTGAATAAGGGAAATCTGTAAAATGAAAGACATTTATGATTAAAGACCCTGACAGTTTCAAACACCAGAAAATTGAATTTTATTATATTATAAGGATACTGCAAAAATACGTTTAGTTTATTGGAATTTTCCAGAAAATAACGTTCATGTAACGTAAATGTATTTCTCATGGAAATGAAACCTCAATTTTGATTTGAAATTGAATAATTCCCTCCTCAAAGATATGATCAGGATTTATAAGAATTACTCATCATTTATAAAATCCTAATATATCAAATATTCGAAATGTGATAAGTTTTGCTCATATCTGCTCGATTTGTTCAAATAAATCACTCACTTGTCTTCCATAGATCTATTATTCAACATAAAGTTGACTTCGTCGGCAGTAATGGGTCCTTGTAACTTTTGCCCGTTCAACATCTCATCTTCCAACTGCTCGAAGGGCTTACCAGTTTTCACAAAAGCTTCACTCACTTTCCTATTCCTTCCCCCATAACAAGTCGTAATGAGATCGGCGACACCGCAACTCTGGAGGAAAGTCGACAGTTTGCCGCCAGGGTAAAACTCTTGAACAAATTTTACCATCTCCATAAGTCCCAATCGGATTACAGCAGCTTTAGTATTATCTCCCAATTCTAGCCCATCGGCAAAACCAGCACCACAAGCAACAATATTCTATAATATTAAAAAGAAATATTTTTCCATTTGTAATGTTAAAAATCAAAGTTACCTTGAGGGCACCACAAACTTCTACAGTGTCTGTGTCATCGACAACCACCACTCGAAAATAGTTGGTTTGGATGATGTCTCTTAGTAAAAGTCCGTCAGTTGTGTTCTTGCAACCGATGGTGGTTTCACAGAACATTTCATTAGCTACTTCATTAGCCAGATTGGCACCCATGAGAACAGAGCAGGGTACTTCCAAGTGATCAGCGATGATGTGGGAAATTAGTTCAATGCCACCACCTTCGGCACAATCAAAACCCTAGAAAAATTGATTCTGCTTAAATTCAATTGGTTCAATAGGAAAAAACTATTACCTTTATTAAAGATAGTGCAATGGCTGATGATTTTATTTTTCCAGAAAGGGTAGAACATATTCTTTTGATGAATTGATGGGGTACTACAAATACTAGGATGTCAGCATCTTTGGCAGCTTCGACAACGTCAGGAATTGCAATCTGAAATATGGAAATCATATAATATCTATCAAAATAATTTTGGTAATTGTAGAGGATTTGTTGAATAATTATAGGTATATAATATTTTTACATTCACCAATCAAATAATAAAACAAGAATTCTTACAACATTGGAAGGCAGCTGATGACCTGGCAGATATTTTACATTTTCGTGAGTTTCGTTTATGATTTCAGTTAGTTTTTTGCCATCAATAAGTTCCTCGTAAACGTACATAGTAACTTCATCATTTAAATGTTCCAGGCGTGCGGCATTTGCTCCAATAATTTTGGCCATTGCTGAACCCCTAAAAAGTACAATTACCTATTATTCTTTAATGTTGAGGAGACACAAATTGGAAATTGAAAAAGCATTCAAATTCAAGTTCAAAACAATAATAACTATTAGATTTTATAGTTTGAATCAAAAAATCGAATAAGTACTTAAAAGCAGTATTGTCAGATGTCAAATTTAAAATTATCAGGATTTGAGAACAAAATTATCAGATTCCAAGAAAAATTATCAGAAAAAGTTCCTGTCAACTTTTTTGACTTTTTATCTCTATTTTCATTATTCGGGTTCTAGCTGGGACTCTGGCAATTGTAGCTCTCAATAAGAGCTTCAAAAAAGGTTATTCAAGACTCCGAGCCCAAGCGCTTCGTTTTCAAGATAATCCGCCTGGAAGCTTTTGCAAAATTTGAGAAAAAGTTTTAACTTTGAGCCTCAATATCTTCAAAAGTAATTAAGATATAGAATTGAATTTTATTTTATCTTGAAGATTATTTAATTCTGATTCAGAATATATAATCTTACATCATATTTGTTATAATAATAACCGCACCAATTTTGTGAAAGAACATCAGATTATTGAAATTTTTTGAGTCCAAAAATTGCAAATATCGTTTTTATTTTTTTACAAGCCTTAAAATCCTAAAAACAAAGTTGCGTAAATGCTTTTCCACTAATTTTCACCTCCTCTTTTGATTAGTGAAGTCAAAAATTGCAAAATCCAAAAATTTAAAAATTCGAACTTTTCCATGGAAATTGGATTTTCAAATATTTCAAATGCTTGTATTTTGGAAACCAGTGAAGTTATTGGCATAAATCTTTTGCCCAATTGTAGCTCTCAATCAGGGCTACAAAAAAGGTTATTTAAGAGTCCAAGCCCAAGGGCTTCGTTTTCAAGATAATTCGCCTGGAAGCTTTTGCAAAATTTGAGGTGAAGTTTCAACATTGAGCCTCAATCTCTTCAAAAGTATTTGAGATATAGAATTGAATTTTATTTTATCTTGAAGATAATTTAATTCTGACTCAGAATATATAATTTTAGATCATATTTGTTATAATAATGACCGAGTAATCATCAATTTTGTGAAAGAATATCAGATTATTAAAGTTTTTTGAGCCCAAAAATTGCAAAAATCGTTTTTATTTTTTAACAAGGCTTTAAAACCCAAAAAGAAAAGTTCCGGAAATGCTTTTCTATTAATTTTAACCTCTTCTTTCGATTGGTGGAGTCAAAAATTGCAAAATCCATGAAAGTTAAAAATTCGAATTTTTCCAAAGGGATTTGCATGGAAATTTGATTTTCAAATAATTCAAAGGGCCATATTTTGAAAACCAATGAAGCTATTGGCATAAATCTTTTGCCCAATTGTAGCTCTTAATAAGGGCTACAAAAAAAGTTATTTAAGATTCCAAGCCCAAGGGCTTCGTTTTCTAGATAATCCGCCTGGAAGCTTTTGCAAAATTTGAGGTAAAGTTTGAACTTTGAGCCTCAATATCTTCACAAGTATTTAGGATATAGAATTGAATCTTATTTTATCTTGAAGATAATTTAATTCTGATTCAGAATATATAATTTTACATTAAATTTGTTACAATAATAACCGAGTAATCAGCAATTTTGTGAAAGAATGTCAGATTATTGAAATTTTTGTGAGCCCGAAAATTGCAAAAATCGTTTCTATTGTTTAACAAGGCTTTAAAACCCAAAAAAGAAAGTCGCGAAAATACTTTTCTACTAATTTTAGCATCTTCTTTCGATTGGTGAAGTCAAAAATTCGAAAAACTGAAAATTTAAAAATTCGAAGTTTTCCAAAGCATGCATGGAAATTTGATTTCCAAATATTTGAAAGAGCCATATTTTGGAAACCAGTGAAGTTATTGGCATGAATATTTTGCCCAATTGTAGCTCTTAATAAGGGCTACAAAAAAGGTTATTTAAGACTCCGAGCCCAAGGGCTTCGTTTTCAAGATAATCCACCTGGAAGCTTTTGCAAAATTTGAGGTAAAGTTTCGAAATTGAGCCTCAATATCTTCAGAAGCATTTGAGATATAGAACTGAATCTTACTTTATCTTGAAGATAATTTAATTCTGATTCAGAATATATAATTTTAGATCATATTTGTTATAATAACAACCGAGTAATCAGCAATTTTGTGAAAGAATGTCAGATTATTGAAATTTTTTGAGCCCAAAAATTGCAAAAATCGTTTTTATTTTTTAACAAGGATTTAAACACCCAAAAAAAAAAGTTGCGAGAATGTTTTTCTACTAATTTCAACTTCTTCTTTCAATTTGTGAAGTCAAAAATTGCAAAATCCAATAAAATTTAAAAATTCGAATTTTTCCAAAGGGGTATGCATGGAAATTTGATTTTCAAATAATTCAAAGGGCCATATTTTGAAAACCAATGAAGCTATTGGCATAAATCTTTTGCCCAATTGTAGCTCTTAATAAGGGCTACAAAAAAAGTTATTTAAGATTCCAAGCCCAAGGGCTTCGTTTTCAAGATAATCCGCCTGGAAGCTTTTGCAAAATTTGAGGTAAAGTTTGAAATTTGAGCCTCAATATTTTCACAAGTATTTACGATATCGAATTGAATCTTATTTTATCTTTAAGATAATTTAATTCTGATTCAGAATATATAATTTTACATTAAATTTGTTACAATAATAACCGAGTAATCAGCAATTTTGTGAAAGAATGTCAGAATATTGAAATTTTTTGAGCCTAAAAATTGCAAAAATCGTTTCTATTTTTTACCAAGGCTTTAAAACCCGAAAAGGAAAGTTCCGAAAATGCTTTTCTACTAATTTCAACCTCTTCTTTCGATTGGTGAAGTCAAAAATTGCAAAATCCATAACATTTAAAAATTCGAATTTTTCCAAAGGGATATGCATTGAAATTTGATTTTCAAATAATTCAAAGGGCCATATTTTGGAAAACAGTGAAGCTATTGGCATGAATGTTTTGCCTTATTGTAGTTCTTGATAAGGGCTACAAAAAAGGTTATTTAAGACTCCGAGCCCAAGGGCTTCGTTTTCAAGATAATCCACCTGGAAGCTTTTGCAAAATTTGAGGTAAAGTTTTAGCTTTGAGCCTCAATATCTTCACAAGTGTTTAGGATATAGAATTGAATCTCATTTTATCTTGAAGATAATTTAATTCTGATTCAGAATATATAATTTTACATTATATTTGTTACAATAATAACCGAGTAATCAGCATTTATGTGAAAGAATGTCATATTATTGAACATTTTTGAGCCCAAAAATTGCAAAAATCGTTTTTATTTTTTTACAAGGCTTTAAAACTCTAAAAACAAAGTTGCAAAAATGCTTTTTCACTAATTTTGATTTCTTCTTTTAATTGGTAGAGTCAAACATTGCAAAATCTAAAAATTTGAAAATTTGAATTTTTCGAAAGGGATTTTCAAATATTTCAAAGGGCCATATTTTGGAAGCCAGTAAAGTGATTGGCATGAAACTTTAGCTCAATCTGGGACTAGTATTTGGTGCTGGCACCAGTACGTCAAAACATTGAAAACCAAAAACCACCTTCAATTTTTCAATAAATTTTTAATTTGTAACTAGAAATTTGAAAAATCTATATTGAAATAATTGTAGTTTCAATAAATTATGGTAGATTAGCTTGTCATTATCGATTATTGAATCGTAGTCAAAATTATGGTAGAATTCGATAATTATCGGGTCATTGGCAACACTGCTTAAAAGTTTATACTTACCAATTTCCACTTCCGATGATGCAAACTTTTGAAGTTTCAGAAACCATTTTTAGAAGTTAGAGAAAAAATTGAGCACAAAGAAAAAGCTGAAGTGAACAAAACAGAAATAAAGTTCAAACTGATATCGACAAAGAATTTGCAGAGTTTTTAAATGCAATTCAACGGAGATAAAAAGGGGGTAGCTGATATGAAATGTCTACACAAGCAAATTCAGAATGGAATTTTTTTGCCAATAATACCTAATCATTAGGATTGAAATGTTTGGGTTAATCGTTTAGTAATGATAATGTTTATTTGAATAAGTCAAAGCGTTATCTTGCGAGTACTAATTAAGCTTTCACTAAATTAATAATTATGTAGATACTTTATTTTCTACAAATTGTTGATCATACCGCAGATACGCTTTTAGATAATATGATGTTTAATAATAGATACATTATCGAATAAATGTAATTCAACATTGTAGTGATATAATTCAAATTGTTATGTTACCATATGCAATATGGGCTTCCCATTTTTCTATACATGATAGGTAGTCTGAAACATTATTCACAAGCTGATCAAAAATCGTTTCAGATTTAGATTTTGAAGTTGGAAGCACAATCCTGAGACCCCTTTTGAAAATCTGAGAAAAAAAGTTGAGCGTCTTATGTTTCCTCAATAAAATAAATGAAGATTGAATAAATCTTTCCGAGATAATAATGAATATAACTATCTGTTAACATAATCAGTTTTTTCTTAAAATTGCTACTGTAATTTTTGAATAATATGTCCATTGTATTCAATATTTTAATACAAAATTCCTGAATTATGGTTTCCAAAGGCAAACAAATACTTATAAAGAAGACGTATGTCTCGGAAAACACAGGTAGATATTGAAATTCTATCATCAACACTCCGCCCAAACTTAATTTATACTTGAAAACAATTTGCGCCGAGGAGAGTTTCTAATATCAACACTCCCTAGGCTTGAGCCTCAAATAATAATAGAGTCTATCAACTTCAGACAACCCGCTGTGGACGATATTTGTTTATTTTTGTAAGCTTCCTTAATATTAAACATTTATTCCTCGACGGCAAGAGGAGATCAGATTAAGCTTTTTTATAAAATAGCGATGGTAATTTGACTGATGAGAAAAGTCTCACACTCACGCGCTAAAACTTTTGGTACTAGCTATATTTTTTCGACTTCAATACCAATTATTGTATCTACGATTTGTTTCAAAAAGAGCTATTCTCACATGAGCAGGAAAAGTTTTAAGAATATATTGGGAACGAACACTAAACACCCTTTACTTTAGCTGATCGCAGCTTGATTTATTTGCCACACTGGAAACTTCTTTTCATTAAATTTAATTACTAACTG